AACATTGGTTTTACGGCTTGAGAGCAATGATAAGTTGAAGCAAGAATCGGCTTATTCTGTTCTGCTACCACTCGAACCTGTCAAGTAAAATTCAACGCTGTGTTCATTTTGAAAAAGGAAGTACACTTTCTGTTTCACCTCCAGTTCTTTTTCATGATCAGTTGTAGTAGTATCCACGAGGATCTTCTCTCCGGCCTAAATACCGAAGACTGATTCAGCGACATCATTCTTCCTTCCGAAGCCAGAAGCCTATTGTATTCACGGAACAACGTTGCTGCAAGCGAGGTTGCGAACCTAATCATTTACCGCAGCGCAGATAAATGACTTCGTTGTGAAGAGGGAAGGATTTAGTTGATCTTCGTTGACAACGAGTTATTTTGCGGTAGCCTGAAGAATCTTGTTTCATTCGTGTTGTAGTTATTCACTGCTGTATCCACAATTAGCACAGAAGGAGAATAAAAGTTTCGACTTGTGAAAGTTTACATCATTGAGCGAAAGGCATTGATTTTATGTATATGACTGTTTCGCTAAGCAATGCCTTAGATGTGAAGGTGGGTAAGTTATATGCATTTAGCTGATGAATTTCATCTACAACTTTAAAATTAGGGATTTACCTCATTGCCCTCTCATTACTAATTTTATATGGTAGTTTGGCTTTTGCACACCATATACTTAGTATCTACCTTAGCACACTTACAAAAGTATGGGAATTCCTGGAATCAAATCCTTAAGTAAGAATTCTAGGTAATTACCAGTTGGAATTGGTAATACCATTTGAAGTTGTATTCATAACGGACCACCGGTTACGCAGCAGCTCACATAGGTGCTAATTTCGGTGTACTTATTGAAGTTCTTAATTACTTGTTGGTCATATTCTTAGACGGACTTAAGTTCTTTAACACTAATTTTTCTGGCTGAGTCATAAATTTAAATTTTTACACAAGTGTGTAGACAGCAGTTCATCTACCTCTAGTTTTCAAAAACCGCTATTTATTGTATACAAATTCCAGTTTAAATATACCGATGACTCATGCGGGTAGACGTGCCGTTAGTGAGTTCCGCGTTTCATGGTGCTAAAAAATGCTCTGACTCATTTTTCAGAAAAGTAGGCCGAAACAATAACGCATTTGACGTAGACATTCGCTTTACGGCTGCTCGTAGTTTACATGCACCGTTTTCTTTCGGGTGACTATAACTCGTACTCTTAATGAGTATCTTTCCTACAGACAGATCTGTTTTACAGGACATGGTGAATTCTTTCCTTAATAATGACCACTTCGTCAAGTTTGCCGTTCGGAGTTGAAGATAGACATGATTCGCGTTTGCGAGCCGTATACCAACGCTGAACATGCGATCTCGTACATTGAACAGCATCCATTGTCAGAGATATGGATATGTACATTGGGTTGGATTTTTAGGGTCCCAAAGTATTTTCAAATCAATTTTTGATTATTTATGATATTAGCAGTACGCGAACCTGACTCTCTAAAGCCATGGACTAAGGACAGCGGCGGATTATGATTTTTCCGGATGCCACCTCATGTAATCGCCAAAACTCAGGATCATCCGAGCAACGGTCGTCTGACTGTACCATGGTAGCCGAAAGCTCACAGTGTTGTTTTGGTGTAATGGCTTATAAACGGCCGGTGGTTACCGGGAGCGAGAGTACTAATGCCTAACGATGACATAGTTAAGGATTACGTTGTATACCATGCAAACAGGGTAGAAAGTTTGGACCGGCTTAAAATAATTAGCCATTTTGTGTTTTATTTTGTTCTGCGTTCACGACCTACGTCTGAAACCAACAGCTGTTTAAAAATAACGCACATTCTAAGAGGAAAAGTGATCGGCTGAGCCGCAGCTGTTGCAAAGTAACTTGTTGGCGACTGAGTCGTTTCGCTTTGTATAGGTGCCGCCGTCGCGCCATGTCAAACTTGGCGAAATGCGGACTCTGAACTAAGTGCTCGTCTGTATTTCTAGCTGTTCGTCGCTGCGTGCCAGTCATGAACAGGTTATGCTACTCCATTAACACCGCAAAAACTAAGATTGTTCAGGCGTTGGCCGCGCTGAGTTCTACTTCGACTTCAATTTTTGCTCTACGGCATCTGTTCGTATGCACATCGACTCTCGGCAGTCAATTATCCGACAGTTGTCAATTTGTCTGACGTATCCCACTAAATGTATCATTTGGTTTTCGTCTAATCTGGCTGCGTAGCAAAGAGATCTGAAGGCAATCAGCAGTTGAACAAAACAAAACTGAACGATCCGGTTCTAATTTCGATTCCATTTGCATACTTTTTGGTACTATTCGAGTACTAATCGTAATAATGCCATTTGGGATTAGCAGAAGCTAGCTGTTGTTACTGTTTAGACTTTCGTTGTCTTTAATTTACAGGCTTGGGGAGCACGTTCTTCACTGAAAAATGAGATAACACTCCAAACTGGAAAAACTTGACACGAACCTCGGCAGAAGACACCGAGGTCTATCCACTAGTTTGTTTCATATTTGTCTTTGTTCAAACCCTCTTTATCGAAGCAAAGTTAAGTATGATGGACTCCATTTCCCTCTTTCATGAGGGTAGGTACGATATATTTCATGAATATTAAAAGCTTAACGCCTCATGAGTGAAGTATCAAATAATTAACACAGCTTTTCAATCCTCATAAATCAGTCATATCCGGACGGAACACAGTGTAACCGGAAATAGCGAAGTAAAAATTACGAATCTCCCCTCCGCTCTTTGTCTACTAGTTAAAAATGAAGTACATACTATGGATGTGGTAGATGTCACAATTTCAGATGAAGTTCGCAGGCCGAGGGTAAGATCGACTGAATCTGGATCATCATCAGCGAATGATGTAGTTTTCTACTAAATACGTATATGGGTCTTTACGAAAGCCACTCCGTCATACAGCCCTGCTTTTTCTGACTTTCAGTCTATATTCCGATGGTTGATAAATATTAAAGTCAGGTAAATTCATCTCTGAATGCAGGTATGCCTCTACAATGGCTTTTTGTTTCTCACCTGGCTTTCCCACGTTTTATGCCCAACCTGTTTTTCCAACACAATCAACCTCTATTTTTTAATTTCCGTATCTGCTCCGGCCACCTGTGCTCGGAACAGAATAGAACTATTACTTGCGTGTCTCTGACATTTAATCCTCATTACAAGCGGATGCCAACGCCGCTGTACACTATTCAACCGTTGTTCAACTGGTTTTCGTGGATACTGAAATTCTTCTCACAGCCCAAGTATCGAAATGCCCTGAAAGCATGGACCATCCTCATGTTTTACATTTGCTGGCTAAGACTGTTGTTGCAAGTTGAGGAACTAAGGTATTTAAAAGCTATCCTTTCTTAACGAGAGAATACTAGATGATTCAGATTATGGACCAGTTACTACTGTGTGAAATGTTGCTTCGTGAATACGAGAGAACATGCTTCGCCGAAGGGACCACGGTTGCTTCATGACTCATCTGTACTGCTTCTTGATGACGCAACACTGAAAAGTTTGGTTAATGGCGTTAGCAGCGTAGAACGCTCAAGTACGGAGTAAAACATTTTACCATTTAATGGCTGATTGACGTAAATTGCTTTTCGTTTAGGACCAGGTTCAGTAGACTTAAAAAAGACAACAGTAAAACGAATTTAGTTCACAAACACCTGAAAAGTACCAAGATTCAGACCCAGTTGCAAGTGAACTTAGTTTAATTAATTTGCATTAATTAATCCTTACTGTTCCTAAAATGTTTTCGAAATTTAGATGTAATAACAATCGTAATTTAGATCAAAACTGTTGACAACATGGTGGTGATCGACGGCAAACATGACGAGAAGATGGATGAGCACGGCTTCATCAGCCGATCGTTCACCAGGAAGTACATTTTGCCGAAGGAGGTGGACCCGGAAACCGTTGTGTCCAGATTGAGTCCAAAAGGTGTGCTGACCATCGAAGCACCAAAGAAGGCCATCGCTGACAAACCTACGGAAAGAACCGTTCCAATTCACGTTTCCTCTCAGCCCGCCGTCGAAGCGAAGGATCAGTAATCGCAGCGCCTACGTGTCAGTGATTAAATTTTCACGGCAATTTTATTTAAAACGTAGCTAATTATATCAATAGAATATCAATCGTTTTCAGCTTAACCAGGACTGATTAGTGGACGGATTTCATGGCAAATCTGTCTGTATGTTTATTGCAGGAATCAACTGGGTTTGGTTAAACCGCGAGGTAAACTCACGAAGCCATTTCCATCTATGGTTTTTGCAATGACCTGAAAATGTTCTAATAAAACTTAAAGATAGTGATGCATTGCTTATAAATATAATACCACCTTTGAAAATCCAGTAATGTTTGACCTGGTCGTTGCTCATTTCACCGCTAATATTTCTTAATCTGTCTCGGTTCAACGTTGATTGTAAATCTGTGACGTATCTCACAAAGACCAGACAATGGTATGAAGATAAAACTTTAATGGCTGACCATGTTCACAACTTTCAAAGGTATTCAGATCCCTCGGTGAGTTGCGCAGAAGCTGGACCACTGCGGCAATATTACCTTTTATTGTGCAAGATATGGACTTGTTCACGCACCTCTGTAAACTCTCGTAGGTATGCTTCATGTGTAAATGCAGGGCACAGATATGATACTTCTCAAGATCCACATGTATATCTTCAAAATTGTGTCATTGTTCTTCAAAGTACGTTAGGAGTGACTTGAGGAGATTCTTTCCTTTCGACGGTTCAGGAGTAGCGCCGAACTCAAACAGTCCAGAAAATCGAAGACACGGACTTCAGTCACCTAGGCGTAGGCGCGGGATATATGCCAATCAAACCAGAGTAGAGAAGATGCCGACCTACAGCCTACTGTCGTAAGGTAAGAGAGTTTTCATATGAATCGTTAACTACTGTTCCAATAACACTGTCCCTACTATCACTGTAAAGGAATAGTTATCCTTAAATCGATGACCTCAACGTGGTATCATATATCTCGCGTCATACCTCAGCCAGTGTACAGGGACTCTGAGAAAGTCGCCACAAATCATCGTTTAGCTGCGGTATCACCACACGCCAACGTAAGGGATCACATATGAAGCGAAATTCAGTGCTTGGTACTCTTTAGATGTTATCCTCATGCCTTCATAGAAAAACTGCTTATGAAGATAGTCGGAAAGGATAGCTTGTAACCGTTTGGAAGGTCGGTCTTATTTGCACTTTATGATAGGGCTATTTCAGGCATCCTTATTTTTATGAAATTACTGGTAGGGACGTTGATCTTCATTTCCGTGTCGTCTGCCAGGAGTGCCTTTTTCAACGCAGAGCTGTGACTAACAGTCCGCTGTTTCCCTACCCTGGATTAGTACTAATATATATCACCCTCGGGAGAAAGACAAGTAACCCCACCGCGGCTCGAACCTGAGACCTGTCCGCCGAGACTCTACCGACTGAGCAGTACTAGTACCAAAAAAGTAGCTTTGAGAACTAGCCCAGAGAAAGGTAAAGGATACATTGTCCAACTAAACAATCATCGTTCCTTCTATCCTTTGAACGAAGAATGACGTTTGCATAAAAATATAGTACCTTTCCAAGTATGCACATCAGTAAAACCCATCAGTCAAAACTTCTCAACAATCCACAATAGTATATTTAATGTGACTTACAGTGTCACGTGGATCCATATGCTGTTTCAACATTTCGTGACTGTCTTGCATCACTTCGATGCATATAAAGCTAAACTAGTAATCAAGTTCGTTTTTGTACCTACAGTCTAAATTGTTATAATACCTGCTTGACCATCACGTGTCTGGTCGTGCTGAACGAACAATCCAGAAGCTATATCATTTAGATTGGCAACGTCAACCCCTTCGGTGGACAAAGTCCTGCTTCGTTCGAACATTTGGTAAGGGCATTAAACGGCGAGACGACAAAGTTTAATACAAACGTCATTTTGTATCTAAAAAGTGGATGGCCTTAGGAAAGTTTGTGATAAAAAACACTTTCCGAAAACTGAACCATGTTTGCGATGCTGTGGTTTGGTATTAATAGAAGTCTGATAAAACACAGCAGACATTTTACATCTTGCAAAATTTTGAATGTACAGCAACGGTCTTCGCATAGGTCAAAGCGACATAATTTGTCCATTTCTGGCAATCTTCCACCGTTCGGGTAGGTAGTCGTTTTTCGCTCCACTTTATGAAGTTGTTAACTCATTTTTAGCGTACCTTTTTTCAGCGTTTCTTACCGTGGTTATTTTGGTTAAAACCGCTAGTCTGCAAGAATTTTTCGAAATAATGCATTTTTCGCCGTCTACCAGTGGCTGCTGTTTACTGACAAATATTTCAATCGTTATAATGACTTCGTTATTTAACGACGAAGAATACGTAACGCAAAACCCACTTCAAATTACTATTACTATAAGATACCTCTGATGAGTAAATGACGGTTTATTCAATTTGTTCAAGCAGAGCGAAATGACCAGGTATATATACATAAAAAACTAATTATTTTCAACTCAAACATCACAGAACATAACACCGATGGTGTTAAAGTACGTATTATATGCATTTACTATTGCTCTGTGCATTTTTAATACACGTCATCAATATCATATCGTATGTATTTGGCTTACGGCGTAAGACACTTTAGAAATATCAGCCAATGCGTCCTGGATCCGATCCAATAATATCTGGCCTTTTTCGACCACAGCTTCGAACTCCCTAGCAGCTTTCTGATTGGACTCTTCCAAACGAGTGAACTCTTCGTTGTCCACGTTCGATGAAGAGTCGTCGTTTGGGAGTGAGTCGATAAGAGTGTCTGAAAGTACAAAGTACTAAAGAAACTAAATACTTAAAAATAATAATGCAATTTCACATTATATCTGCGATTTATCCGTAATTAATTAATTCGATTAAATTTTTATTGCAGCTGAAGGCTCTTTTTCTATCCATTAAAAACTATGGCTAACGAGCAGTAATTCTCGATTAATCGCTATGCCACATGCTTTATTTCTGTTATATTCAAGTGTCCCTTAAGGAACACGACAAGTAGCTAAATCCCATACATGAATATAAAAAGATATTTGCATAAGTTGGTCAACGAAAAACACTGTATAACGGAGACAAGGTAATGGTGATTTTGCCAGACGCGGTCAGAACTGCCACATCTTTTTCACAGTTCCTGTACTTCTCTTGATTAATAAGTCTCTTGTGAAAGAGATCATCTACTTACTGTAAGGTTCAATCGGGCATTTGCACACCACGTAACCTGACCCAGTGCTTGGATTGATTGACTCATAGGCACGCTTTCAGGCATGGATATGTTAAACCCACTGAGGAGCTGGGTCGGCCAAGTTAAACTTGCCGAGTTTAAAACTTGTTTTAATCAGATTATTTATCAGAATAGTCAGAAGCTTCAACGACAAGCAGTTGCAACCGAGCAATTTCATCAGTCTTTTGACGCGATAAGGATGTATGATCCACTGACAAAAAGATATGTTAATCTTACATTAGAATGTTAATTACTGAGAAAATAGTAACTAAATAATTTAATTAGCAGCTATTTCTTTAACGAAACCCGAGCTCGGTGCATAATGTAATAAAGTTCAAGTAATTATACCAATATCCTTCGCGATCTTGGCAATTAATTTTGCAAAATTGCGAGCGTTCTCTTCTTGTTCTAAACCCATCACGTCCGTGCCATCTAGACCGCATGGTGGAGCCACCTGTTGCAGCACCCCGATGCTATTGCACATTTGACTAG